AGACTTTCTTTTTATAGGTAATTTTGTATTGGTAATTCAGCGGAACGTGACATTATGCTCTTGATAAACCCTTTTTTCTCATTTCGTTTTGACTGGAATTGAAAAAGACTGCAAACTGGACCTGCCATATAGAAATTTGGTTCTTGTAAAATTGGACCGCCAAGCTTTGACGGTAGGCCTTGTGGCCCACAGGGCTGTCACTTCTTGAAAAATGACCGGGGAATTCTATTTACACTTAAAAAAATTATTAAGTACATTTTATTTAATTATTTAAAAATTTATTTTATTCTTATTATATTCTATTATTTTTTCTAAATTACCCCTTATGATAAACTCAAATAATAAATAATAAATAAATTAAAAAAATTGAACTATTTTAAAAAGGGATTTTTATTGATAAACAGTGGTGAGACGAAGCGGAATCTGGGGTCGATGGTCGACGGTGGACGACGAGGACGTTGGTGAGGCGATGTGAATCTAGGGTTACTGGAGGCAATATCAGTATCGTTTCGTCGATTGAGTTTTTGTTTTGGAAATTTTGTGGATTGAATATTTCGAATAGGAATGGATTTTTGCAGAATCGGTTTCACGTGGGAGAGGCGGAGAGGGGTATTTCGTCCTTTAACAATTAATGGACCTAATGGAATATTCAAAAATACTTTGGATTTTATGGAACAAAACAGTTATAAATAGGATTTATCAAAAAATGACCCTTTTAAAAACTTTTTAATATAGAAAATAATTCTTAAGTACATGAAAAAAAAATCAAATTTATAAGCATATAAGCATTATAAATACAGAAAAAATTAAACTTTTACACAAGTATTATAAAACTTTTCAATACAAAAAAAAAAAAATTACATCATAAAAAAGTAAAAATCAAACTTATAAGCACATAAGCATCAGGTACTAATAAAAAGAGTAGTTCTCAAATAATGTACTATTTAAATGATAAAATAAGAACAACTTCAATAATATGTTATTATTAATCTAATTACTGGGGCCTTTAATTTTTGTTAAAAAAGTGATATAGAAAATAATTGATGGTGTTCTACAAAAATTGTTAAACCCCTTTATATGAATACATACCTCTTTTTTGATGGGTTGCTTCAAAAAATTATTTTGATTATTACTCTCATACATTATTTGATTTTGTTCAAACTTTCTTCTAGGGCTTAGGGTTTCAAAATAATAAAAAATAATGATGTTAATGATGATGGTGAGTTTTGGTAGGGTTTATTAGAGTTTTAGAGGGAGGAAGAAGAAGAAGAAAAGAACAAGAATAAGAAGAAATAATTTTGATCTCTTGGAAAAGAAGATGATTTGAGTATGAATAACTGATTATGGTGTATCACGAGGAAAAAAAATTATTTTAAGATTTAATATGTGTTGTCATTATTAATAAATTCATATTAAAATATAATACAAATTAAAATTTATGAATTTAAATTCCCAAAAATGACCCGACCTACTTTCAAGAGAAATTCACCAGGCCAGCCCGAGCGTGGAAGATTGGAAAAGTGGGTCGGACTAGGTTTGACCCAATTTACAGATAGGGTTTATCCTTATTTGACCTTTATTTAACGGGGGATTTTATTTACATTTAAAAAATTATTAAATATTCCTAATTTCTCAATATACTCAGTTCAATTATTTGGATTTTATGTTACTCTCAGTATACCTTATAATTTTTTCTCCAATGACATTTGAAGGTATACCTAAATGAGAACAAACTCATCACGTTCAGATTTACAATACCGAACAATATTGTTTGATTCGGACTTTCAGATCTGAACATATTGACTTTGTTTGGACCTGAAAATCTGAATAACAATGACGTTAAACATGTTGAATATTTATTTTCACATATAAAAAAAGAACAAAAATCAAGAATTATTCTTTAATATTTATATGGATACTTACCTTTTTGTTGATGGGTAGTTTTAAAAAATAGTTTTCATTATTATTTTTATCTATCATTTGATTTTATTTAAACTTTCTTCTATTCGCAAAGATAAGAAACAATGATATTGATTATAATGGTGAGTTTTTGATTGGGGTGGTTTGGAATTTTGGAATGAGAAAGAAAAAGAAAATAATTAAAATTTGAGAAAGAAGATGAAAAATACGTATATATGATTGTAATGTATCATGAAAAAAAAACAAATGTAATACTATTTATTATTCTTATTAATAAATTTACAATAAAATATAATAAAAATTAAAATCTATACTATATATTAAGCAAAATAGAGTTTTTAACCCCAAGCCTTGTGGAAGTTCCAATCTCTCAATCTAAATTTTTTGATTTTTTTTATTTAAAAAAAAACTTTAGCATTTATTAACTTCTCTCGACTCCCAAGTCTTACCCTCATAATAACACTTTAATGCATTAAGAACAAGTATAAAAAAAATTCTTTGAAATCCATCACATATGAATTCTTTGAAAAGTCCGAACACATATGATTATTATCACTCATAATAACACTTTAATGCATTAAGAACAAACATAAAAAAAATTTCTTAAAAAGTCCAACACATATGATTATTATCAAAATATTAAACTTTAATATAATATACTTTAATATAATATAATAAAAAAAAGAAGACATTCAATTCCTTAAAAAGTCCAACACATGTGATTATTATCAAAATATTAAATTTTAATATAATATAATAAAAATACTTATTGAAAACTTAGATCAAATAGATGAAAAACTTTGTGAATAAGGAAAAATAGAATCAGATGCTAACTGAATCGAAGACAAAATAGTTTTTTTTTTTTCCCATCAAAATCAATTTGGGTAGTGAAAAATAACAACAAATAAAAAAAAAATAACACTAAAAAAAAAGAGAAAAAAAGAAGAAGAAGAAAAATCATCATACAATAATAGTGAAAAAACTTCAAATTAAGTGATTAGTGTTTGTAAAACTCTAAAAACCCAATTTGATACAAACATTACATTACTAAATTAGAACATACAAGGTTTGTTGGTGTATGTAGCGGGTCTGAGAACGTTGCTGGAAAATTCGAAAGTTGCCAAAAAAGTTGTTGGAAAATTTGAGGCTCCGTTTGGTAGAGCTTTGTAACTATGATTTGAGAATATGAGTTGTATTTTGAATTTGTGTGTTTTAGAATTATGATTTGAGTGTAGAAAATTTGTTTGGTTATGAAGTCTCCCGTTTGAGAAAAGATCATCGTGAAGTTGAGATGACAGTAGCATTTGAAGAAAATAGTGATCCTCCTTTGCCGCTACATTGCAATCATGTTTGTGCATTCTCAACAAAAGAGTATGATAATTTAGCGTCAAACCAACGATCAAAATCGATAGTGAAACTATGCGGGCTTATAATTTTCTATATAATTATTATGGCAGTTGAGTAGTAGGAGGCATAAAGGCCAACAGCCTTGCAATTCTTACAGATGCAGCACACTTGCTGACTGACATTGCCGGAATCTCTCTTTCCCTTTTCACTTGTATGGGCTTCAAGTTGGGATGCCACTTCACACAGTCTTTTGATTCATCGTCTTGAGTCCTCGGGGCCCTTATATCTGTACAACTAATTTGGCTCATCTGTGGGGTTTTAATTTACGAAGCAGTTGACAGAATCTTCATAAAAATGCAACAGTTAATGGAAGCTCATGTTTGCAATTGCTCACTCGGTTTTGTGATCAACTTCATTATAGGTCGTATGCTCGGTCACGGACACGGTCACGGTCACGCTAATTCTCATTGTCATTCTCATTCTAATTCTCATCATGCTTGCACAGATACAGATCATGAGAAGGAAGAATTATGCACAGGGACAAAGAAGAGAGTGCTAGTTGTTGCTAGTATGCAGAGAAGACCGAAAGATGAAACATAAATGTTTCAAGGGCTTACTTGCATGTCATGCTGATCTGATTCAATCAGTTGGGTGATGATTGCCGGATCGATCATATGGCGAAGCCCAAGTGGTTTGTAGTCGATCTGGTTTGTACCCTCGTCTTTTCTATTTCGCTCTGCTGCTACCATACCAATGTTAGAGACATTACTTGTATATTGATGGAGAGACACCAAGTGAGATTAATATTGCTAGTCTTGAAAATGGTCTTAAAATGTATCAAAGGAGTTGATGATGTTCATGACCTGCAGTTTGGGCCATTACAATTGGTAAAACTGTATTGACTTGCCATGTAATAGCTGAGGCTTGTGTTAACTCAAATGAAATCCTTGTCAGGTATAAGATTACTGTGAAAAAACATACGACATTCATCATGTAACCATACAAATTGAACAGGAACTATAAACTCTATAGTTGTATTCTTTCTTTTCGGTTCCTTTTTCTTTGTTTCTTTGCTTATATGAAGATAGTTAGTTAAACCACCTTGATTCTGTTAAATTGAGATTACAGAATAGTCGTGTTTGAGGATAAAGTAGTTTATAATTTATAATCCAAAATAACGCCATTATTAATTTAATTGTTTTTTTTTTATTATTTTTTCACCGTCTAAATAGACTTGCCAATTTCAAATAGTGGTTTTTTTTTTTTTTTTTAAATAAATAAATAAAAGTGTAGTAAAATAAATAAGAACACTTACCTTTATCTTCATCAACTACCTTTAGACCTCATGATCCTAATACGCTTCCTCCCAACAACTGTGCATGATAGAAGAGAGATATTTGAACACATGACATAGTGCTCTGGCCATAAATTAAAGAGTGAGTAAATTTTGGGCTTTAACTCATCTTCAAACGGTAACATTTTATCAACCGTCCATTCCTCCATTCTTTGGAAAAACTTGCATTTGGTAAAATTTTAGAATTTTTCAACTTCTCTCATACACTATGATTAGTGATAAGATTGTTAAATTATTTTTATAAAAAAATTTTAAAAAATATAATTTATATATTAAATTTTTTTTTTTAAATAAATATAAATATTTATAATTATTTGGTGATGGCACGGTGATAGGCTAGTTTTGATTAAACGTATTTAATAAATTTTGAATGCAAAAAAGCGTTGTCAGCACATTGGTATAATTATTTGAATATGAAATGAAACTCTGTCTCCTCTTTCATTCATTCAGGCTTGGTATTATGTTAGCTAAGATCGATCGAAACGAACCTCTTCTTGTTTTTCTCAATCGTCGTCTCTGCAAACCCTAGCTTTTCACTCTCTCTGCGCTTCGCATTTTCGAACCCTAAGCATGGCTTCCGGATCATCGGTTCGTAACGACTACTCTGCTGCGAACGGGTTCGATTTCGCCACCACCGATGACATTCTCTACTCGTACGAGGACTACGGCAATCAGAATAATTCTAATGGAAGTCACTCCGATTCCGCGATCGGATCCAATTCTGCCAAGGTATTGTTCTCGTATGCTCGCTATTTATTGCTTTGATTTCGAGTCGAAATTGTATTGTGTGATTGGTAGTTTAGGGTTTCTTGGATTTTGATTTGGAATACTTGAGTAGTGTTTGAGAATTATCATTTGTTATTATGTTCTGCGTCTTTTCCTTGTGTACTGATTGGAATTAGCATGGTAAAAAGTTCTTGTTGATTCCGTGTTGCTGTAATTGAATGTTGTGGTTTAGGAGGACTTCAATTTTTGTGCTTGCAAGGTCGATTTTGTTTGGGCTTTTTGAGCATTGTTTTATGCTTTTGAAGATATAAGGGTATGTGCTACATGTTAGTAAATGGAAGTTCTAGTTGATTAATGAGGATTAGAGTCAAGGAATGCGCATTACTGCAGCTTGGTGAGGAGGAAGATGTCATTTGTGTGGCTGTGATTGTGGATTGGTGAAATTAAACTTTCTTTTTCATTTACTTGAATGGAGAAAAGTCTTGTTGAATAACAGTTAACATGTTATGATCATATCAATGATATGTTCAATAATTAACATTCATCTCATATATTCAATATATAATAGGTGTTTGCCAACAACCAATTTTTTTATTTTTTTTAATTCTGAGACATCCTAATCAAGATGAAGCATTTCTAGTCAATTAGAACCAAGTTTTCGTCAACTAGGACTAAGTGTGGTCGATTAGGCCCCCTAAATTTCTACTAGCACCATAGGACCAACTTGGAACAACCATAACTTTATCATTTTGTCTCTGATTTGGGTGAAATTTCTGTCTAAAACTCTAGAAGTCTAGTTTCATTTGAAATTGGTTTCACTTAAAGATTCAAATTAGATCCTGAGTTACAGTTTTTGGAAGGTCAGGGAGTTGTAGCAAGTCTCGCCCTGAGGTGAACAAAGCTGGTAGCTTTTGATTGGGAGGGAAGGAAAGCGACCCCGAGAAGAAAAGAAGAAATGACTTGAAAACCAAGCAAGCTAAACAAGCTAAACGATCAACCAATCTTACTCTTGGTCAACCGAGATTAACCTGCTAAAAATATTCTAAGGTCTACTTCATGATCCTAGACGGCTCTACCCATGGCATTTTGGTTTTGTTGTTACTTGGCAAGTTGGCATCCTCCTTGTTAATGAAGTTTCTTATTGAGTTTTTCCTTAGCCTTTATCATTTGACTCTTTAATTCTGTGCTTTGAAGTCTTTAAGTCCTCGAGGCTTGTATGAGCTTTCCCATCCCAAATCTTTTTTTTTGGATATTCAATCGAAGTGCACCCTTGCTACAATACAAGTCATGGAATTTCCAAACAATGCTATTACTGGCACTTGCAAGTTACACTAATTGTAATCAAGAATGCTGCAGTTCACTGGATTTGTAAATTTTGTTTGTATGATTTTTTTCAATAAATTGGATGGTACAGGTGCCAAAAAGCTTGGAATATTCACCATAAGTCATAAAATTTCTCATGGGACTAGTTAAAGGTCAAGTAAATCCTGTTGTGCGACAATTCTCGAGAGATTTTAAAAAGAATCAGGCATCAGACATGTTTCTATGTGAATTTGATGATTTGCATACCTTGATCACACTCTCCAACAAAGTAGTTACTGGCTTGAAAATTTCTGATGGGAATGGTTTTGCTCCTTCAAGCATACAATACCAAATGTGATGGTACTGGGTTTTGCATAACACTTGTGAAGCTACTGTTGGGCTTGGGGTTTATTAGAGACCATGACCAGTGATTGCTCCATCCTTAATTTCAGATATGACTTGTTCATTTTAAAAATTACATTTGAAAAATTCTACATATTCATTGGATAAAGAAAAAGTTGATGGTTTGGCTGAACTCTATTTATTTGTAAAGGTATTATATGGTGATATGCTTTTAATTTACTTTTACTTTTGGTTTTTAAATTTCTAATTAATTTAATCCAAGCAAATGGAATACCAGGAAGTCTCCAGTTTGAGAAAAGATCATCGTGAAGTTGAGATGACAGTAGCATTTGAAGAAAATAGTGATCCTCCTTTGCCGCTACATTGCAATCATGTTTGTGCATTCTCAACAAAAGAGTATGATAATTTAGCGTCAAACCAACGATCAAAATCGATAGTGAAACTATGCGGGCTTATAATTTTCTATATAATTATTATGGCAGTTGAGGTAGTAGGAGGCATAAAGGCCAACAGCCTTGCAATTCTTACAGATGCAGCACACTTGCTGACTGACATTGCCGGAATCTCTCTGCTTTGATTTCGAGTCGAAATTGTATTGTGTGATTGGTAGTTTAGGGTTTCTTGGATTTTGATTTGGAATACTTGAGTAGTGTTTGGCTTCAAGTTGGGATGCCACTTCACACCAGTCTTTTGGATTCAATCGTCTTGAAGTCCTCGGGGCCCTTATATCTGTACAACTAATTTGGCTCATCTGTGGGGTGTTAATTTACGAAGCAGTTGACAGAATTCTTCATAAAAATGCAACAGTTAATGGGAAGCTCATGTTTGCAATTGCTGCACTCGGTTTTGTGATCAACTTCATTATGGCCGTATGGCTCGGTCACGGACACGGTCACGGTCACGCTAATTCTCATTGTCATTCTCATTCTAATTCTCATCATGCTTGCACAGATACAGATCATGAGAAGGAAGAATTATGCACAAGGGACAAAGAAGAGAGTGCTAGTTTGGTTGCTAGTATGCCAGAGAAGACCGAAAGACTGAACATAAATGTTCAAGGGGCTTACTTGCATGTCATGGCTGATCTGATTCAATCAGTTGGGGTGATGATTGCCGGATCGATCATATGGGCGAAGCCCAAGTGGTTTGTAGTCGATCTGGTTTGTACCCTCGTCTTTTCTATTTTCGCTCTTGCTGCTACCATACCAATGCTTAGAGACATTACTTGTATATTGATGGAGAGGACACCAAGTGAGATTAATATTGCTAGTCTTGAAAATGGTCTTAAATGTATCAAAGGAGTTGATGATGTTCATGACCTGCATGTTTGGGCCATCACAATTGGTAAAACCGTATTGACTTGCCATGTAATAGCTGAGGCTGGTGTAAACTCAAATGAAATCCTTGTCAGGATTAAGGATTACTGTGAAAAAACATACGACATTCATCATGTAACCATACAAATTGAACAGGAAATATAAACTCTATAGTTTGTTTTCTTTCCTTTCGAGTTCCTTTTTCTTTGTTTCTTTGCATATATGAAGATAGTTAGTCAAACAACGTTGATTCTGTTAAATTTGAGATTACAGAATAGTCATGTTTTGAGGATAAAGTAGTTTATCATTTATAATCCAAAAATAACAAGCCATTATTAATTTAATTATTTTTTTTATTTTTTCACCGTCTAAATATACTTGCCAATTTCAATAATGGTTTTTTTTTTAAAAAAATTAAATTAAATAAAGTGTAGTAAAATAAAATAAGAACACTTGTACCTTTATCTTCATCAACTACCTCTAGAAATTACGGGGGTAAGTAAATTTTGGGCTTTTAACTCATCTTCAAGCAGTAACATTTTATCAACCGTCCATTTCCTCCATCCTTTGGAAAAACTTGTGTTTGGTAGAGTTTTAAAATTATGATTGGAAAATAGAATTGTATTTCGAGTTTGTGAGTTTTGGAATTATGATTTGAGTGTAAAAAATTTGTTTGGTTATGAGTTTTGAAAAGAGTTTTGAATTGAGTTTGAAATTTTTGATGTGACATATGATATTTGATTCAAAACTTTACAATTCATAATCAAACACACTATCCAAAATATTATTCAAAACTTATAAAAAAAAATTTTAAAAAATTCCGAAAATATTTTTTATTTAAAATATAAAAATAACAAATGCCAAAAAAAAATAAAAATTGCAAACACAGGTCCGGTCAACCTGCTGGACGTGACCAAGTAGACGTGTTTTTAACAGTGGATGTGCAATTAATTTTTAAAAGTTCTCACCAAACACCATAGGTGGAATTAGGATTCCAAACTCTACCAAACAGACATATATCAAGATTCCCGAGCTCTACTTAGAAGTTGAATTGTCATCTATCAAGATTCAGCAGTTCCATTGTAAAAACTCCAGAGCAAAGATTCCAAAAAAAGCTTGGGGCAGATGACATGAAATGATGACGAAATAATATTCTCATAAAGATGGCATGGTTTTTATTACAAAAGTAATCCAACAAGCATCAGTCGAAAGGGAACACTAAACTTACAATGCCACCAATTTTGTCCTACAGTATCTCCCATTTGAGATATTCAACTTACCACCCAACAGCCACCTCAGTATCAGTCATTTTCCGCTAACCATATTTTTAGTTCAACTGTCACAAGCTTCATCACCAACTTGGAAAAAATATTCTACAAGTCTCTATCTTGCCTAAAAATGGGGCGAAAAGGAAAAAACAAAAGTTTGTGCTTGGTGTTGAATCATTGGTTCTTCTATTGAATGTCAACTAAGTAGAACAACAACCTCCCTTTGTATTCCCTGATGCGTCGCTGACATTGATAGTCGTCCCTTGACCAGGAATTACAGTGGCAGTGGCTGCTTCCTGGGCTGCCAATGCTTTCATGCTTATGATGTGGTATTTGTCCTTCAAAATGGTTTGGAATGCTTTGTCGATGTTGAGTGCTTCCAATGCTGATGTCTCAAGAAATGAAAGTCCTTCTCAGCAAAGACCTGACCATCCTCTGCTCTGAAACTGCTCTGAGATGGTTTAGATCGTACTTGTTTCCAGCCATCATGATTACAATGATTACAATGTTTGAATCTGCATGGTCTCTTAATTCACGGAGCCGCCTCTGGACATTGTCAGAGGTTTGCCTCTTAGTTATGCAATAGACGAGGAATGCACCTACTGCTCCCCTGTAGTAAGCATTAATGATAGCTCGGTACCTCTCCTGGCCTGCAGTATCCCATATCTGTGCCTCAACTGTGTTTCCCTCTACCTGTATCAGAGAAATTGGTAGAATATAAATTAGAATTGGCTTCATTTCTTAACCTACATGGGAGAGAAAAATTAGGGAGAAGAAAACTCATTTCCAATTTTGATATGAAACAAGTGCCACACATCTTGTAATATATATTCAACATGCGGGCATAATTTCAAACTGTAAGTACAAAAAGTAAATTGCGATTCCAAACTATTATAGATTAGCATATGATTGTAGGTAAATAATTGAGCCAGCAAAGCCTTAATGAACTAACTGTACTTGGAATGGCTAGAAAAGTCTGATAGAAAACTTTGCGGAACATAAACTAAAAACAATTAAGGATTCAATACTATACATGAAAACTATATGAATTTCTACAATACAACTTAAGTAAATACATACCTTGATCCATGATAGTATGAAATAAGAAGCTGTCAGAGTCTGCTTATGACTCTTCCATGAAATGGGTCCATTAGCAAGCATAAAAATGTACCCAGAAGTGGACTTTCGAGTGTCTTTACATCCAGTAAAATTAGCATCTGAATAACCAACCACTTCAAGGCTGTCTGTTATTTGATAAGTGAGCATGTAATCCTTAGTGCATTGTAAATATCGCAACACTTTCTTAACTGCTTTCCAATGATCAAGTCCGAGATTGCTTTGGTATCGACCCAGCATACCAACTACAAATGCTATGTCAGGACATGTACAAACTTGAGCATACATAATGCTCCCAACTGCAGAGGCATAAGGAATTTCTTTCATTTGTTCCCTTTCTAAATTATTTTTGGGACATTGAAATTCACTAAATTTATCACCCTTAACTATAGGGGCAACACTACTTGAACAGTTCTGCATGTTATACCTTTTAAGAACCTTTTCGATATAGGCTCTTTGGGACAATCCTAAAATACCACGAGACCTAACTCGGTGAATTTCTATCCCAATGACAAAAGAGGCTTCACCAAGATCTTTCATTTCAAAATTTCTCGTAAGGAATTTCTTTGTCTCATGTATCATTCCCAAATTATTGCTAGCAAGCAATATATCATCAACATACAAAACTATAATGCAGATATTGCTTCCACTAATTTTAAGGTAGACACATTGATCAACTACATTATCCTTAAAATCAAATTTGGTGAGAACTTCATGAAATTTAAGATACCATTGTCGAGATGCCTATTTTAGACCATATACGGACTTCTTAAGCCTACAAACCATATTTTTCTTGCTTTCATCCTGAAAACCTTTAGGTTGGTCCATGTAGACCACTTCATGCAAGTCACCATTCAAAAAGGCTGTTTTAACGTCCATTTGATGTAACTTTAAATCATAATGAGCTACTAAGGCCATGACTATTCTCAAGGAATCTTCATTAGAAACGGGAGAATAAGTTTCCGTATAGCCTATCCCTTCTTTTTGAGTGTATCCTTTAGCAACTAATCTGGCCTTGTATCGTTGGACATTGCCTTTAGGATCACGCTTGGTTATAAAAACCCATTTGCATCCAATAGTTTTGGCTCCCCTAGGCAATTCTACAAGTTCCCAGACATTGTTGTCTTTTATGGATTTTAACTCATCTTTCATAGCACTTAACCATTGAGTTGCATTTCCATTTTTCATGGCTTGGGCATAAGAAACAGGATCGTTTTCCAAGCCTATATCACACTCATTTAGGTAAACCTCCTAGTCATCTGATATGGCTGGTTTCTTTTCTCTTTGTGATCTGTGTAAAGGTTGTTCTGCAACTGTGACAACTTCTTTTTCAATGTGAGAAATCTCTTGTGTACCAATAGGTTCAAGTACAACATTTTCTTGGATAATCGTGGAAGGCGTAAAATCACGATTTTTCTCCAAAGAAATATTTTTGAGATTCATACTCCCACTAATGTTTTCATCCTCTAAGAACATGACATTTCTAGTTTCAACAATCCTAGTGCTATGAGTGGGACAATAGAATCTAAAACACTTTGATCTCTTAGGATATCCAATGAAATAACAACTTATAGTTCTAGGGTCTAATTTCTTTATTTGTGGGTTAAAAATTTTTGCTTCAGCAGGACAACCCCATACATGTAAATAATTCAAATTAGGTTTCCTACTAACCCACAACTCATAAGGAGTTACAGGCACAACCTTACTAGGAATCCTATTAAGAACATGTACAGCAGTTTTTAAAGCTTCACCCCACAAGTAATCTGGCAAAGAAGAGTTACTCATCATGCTCCTCATCATGTCCAAAGAGTACGGTTTCGTCGCTCAGCTACACTATTTTGCTCAGGTGTACCAGGCATTATGTAGTTAGAAACAATACCATTCTCAGCAAAAAATAAAGCAAAAGCACTTGGATTTTGACCCGACTCAGTGAATCTACCATAATATTCACCACCTCTATTAGATCTTACACTTTTAATTCGTCTGCCAAGTTGATTTTCAACTTCAGCTTTATAAAGTTTGAACATATTCAATGCTTCTGATTTTTCACGAATAAGATACACATAAGTATACCTAGAAAAGTCATCAATAAAAGTAATAAAATATTTATGTCCAGAAATAGTTGGAACAGTAAAAAGACTACATATATCAGTATGAATTGTGTCTAATAATTCAGTAGTCCTAGTAGCACCCTTTTTCTTTGTCTTTGTGTATTTTCCTTTAATGCAATTCACACAAGTACTAAAATTAGAAAAATCAAGTGACCTTAAAATTCCATCTTTAATAAGACGTTTCATCCTTTCTCTTGATATGTGGCCCAAGCGCTTATGCCACAACATGGATGAATTTTCATTCACTCGTTTTCTCTTTTTATTTACCAAGTCGTTTACATTAAAGGATAAAAGAGATTGTGCATAAGTGGAATCTAAATTCAATGAATAAAGATTACCATATAAAGTACCAGAACCAATCATATGAGAATTGTGAAATACAGAGACTCTATTATTTCCAAACTTAAATTCATAACCATAGGAATCAAGTTGTGAAACAGAAATTAGGTTTCTAGTAAAAACAGGAACATAAACTGTGTTTACTAGATCTAAAATGAAACCAGAGTCTAAAATTAGACGGAGGGTGCCAATAGCCTCAGCGTCCACTTCTATTCCATTCCCAACCGTAATGGTTCGTTCTCCTTTATTTAGTTTCCGACTTGTAAGGTATCCCTGCAAGGAATTTGTTATGTGAATACTTGCACCAGTGTCAATCCGCTAAGAATTTGGTGGAACATCTACCCAAAGGGATTCATAAGA